TGATGGTGGCAGAGTACTTTGATCGGCTTAAAACTTGCCATAGCACAATTCACAATTCTAATTGTCTAACTATGTATTGCTTCCAAGAGGCATCCTGCCTACTCGGAAGAGGAACGAATAAATTAAAACTATTTTTCAAATTGTTTCCGTTAAATATTAGCACCAGATAATAAAATCCAATTTCAATAATATTTACAACAGAAAAACAACTATAGACAACGTAAACAAAGCATAACGATTCATTCAAAACACGGTGAATGTAGTGCACTGTACCAAATCACCGCCCTCTGTTCGAATGAAACCTCCGATCATTCAAATCGAAACATTGAAATTGCTTTTTCGAACGATAGCTGCAACCGGATGGCGGTTGTATTGGAATCAGATGATTGTCCGCTCGAATACAGGATGAACATTATTATGAGAAGGGATAAGGCCTTCAGTTGGAATGCGTAATGCTCTCTGCAGAATGATAGTCATCTTAAATTAAAATGCGTTTGGTATTGGTTCAGCCCCTTAACGTAAATCATTCAAAACGATGATGTAAATAATTCTATCGAACGTCATTTGATGCCCTGAGCAGACAAACGAGGTGGAAGCATAGCCATCGCTATCAGGGGTGGTACAAACATCGGTAAAGCGTGGAAACCGTAAATTGTCTATTCGTGGTGGAGGAAGTTTCCTCTACCCGCAAGTTCAGGGCTATTCTATGTGTCGGTTTCATAATCTAATGCATTTGCAAGTGATCCTATCCTTAAATTGTTGTCCTCGGAGCCCTGTATGTGTTGCAGACAATTTTCTAATTAATATCATCTTTTATTTGGAGGACAGTCATATGGCTCATCAGTTCATGACGAAATCAACCATAAGGAAATCGTCCGAAATTCGACAGCATATTGTTAAGGGGCTCGAGCAATACAATAATCAGTCGAAGTATTGGGGATGTTTTCGTTCAGTGTGGTAAGCTAGCATTATTATGGCAGCTATTCTATTATGGTTCTCACGCGTCGAGGGGCATTTGTTGACAAAGAACATCTTATGAACGACACATATGAATTTCATAAGCACAACTTATTAAAGATTTTCGTCTAACACGAGTTAGCCGTTCTACGCCATTAGCCATTCCATTTTCCCAAGCGTTGGCAGAGGAGAGTGGTCTAGACACAGGACCCGTAACCTCAACGTCCATGGTTCGGTTCCAGTATGCTCAGTTTGATGATTTTTTGTCGACATTATTTTTCATGAGGCAAATCTTTGAAATTCACTCCGATTTCTTGTGGCCAGTGTTGGAAAAGTTCACGATATTTCACGAAGTTCACCAAGGGAAAAGTTCGCGAGTCATAGGGAACTTTGATGAACTTTTCCATCACTGCTTGTGGCTAAAATAAATAAGTGATTTTTGTGGAATTCTTACGTTATTTTGCCTCAGTGTCTGTGATTTGAACCACCTACGAATTAGTGCCACTTGCTGAAATTATTAATATTATTAATTATGATTGACCATAACAAACAATTTCGGCAAGTTTCATGCAAATCGGGAAGGTCGCATCATATCGATTCGGCATTTGACATAGAACTGCTCTTATAGATAGTCCAGGATCTTGCTTTGTCTAAACCGTTTGTTGTGATAGGTCTTTTTAATGCACCACCAACGTAGAGTGCGCCACGCGAGTTCGAGAAGAAACGTCAACCAAACCATTTGTTTACATGAGACTAACTATTTTTCACAACGCAAATTAAAGCATTTTTCATTGAACATCTTGCCAATTTCCATCAGTTATTGTCTTATTGTACGATTTTCCACTGATATGAACTGATTTGTACTTCAACTGATTTGTAATCATAACCACTAAGGCACTCTTCTAATTTTCCATTTTTCTCAACAAAAATATTCCTGAACACCAGCAGGATCTTTGCAAAAACGATACAGAATTACATTCTTCAACTGTAGATTAAGTTTTGAAGCATCTCAGATCAATCAATTTATCAGGGAAAATGAAAAAGTGACGTTCTTCTATTCACCACCAGAGGTTGAATCGATCGCTTATAGCGAATTCGTTTATTATTCAGTTCCAACCTGGATCGGGTATCAATATTGGATCTGCTTGTTTTCTGACAAACGTCAGACTGATCGTTTGTTTTAAAAACCCCGCTCAGGTTGAGATTCGCACTGACAAAAAGATCGGTTTCGCACTGGGTTGGAGCTGGTTCCAACCCCGATAATAAACGAATTCGCTATTAGTTTCTATTAAAAAGGCCTATATTTTGTCTGTGTTGTTGGATCTTGAAAATCTTTCATACACTGAATCGAAACATCTTCCTACAATTGAATGAAATATGGTTAGCTTATCTACCGGGTTGTTAAAAAAATCAAAAAGCTGCTAACAGAGTATTACCAACAATCAATACGAAACTAACGATTTTAAATTGGCTCACCACTTTAGTAGCCTATTGGTCCCAAGCAAACGATTAACGTACCCTATTCTAGTCGAAATTTTAGTACTACGCAATGTTTGTTTTGATTCGCTATGAAAGTTTGACAGATAAAATGAGGGGTTATTGGTTTTTCCATAACTCTAAGACTAGAAGGTCCCGAAAAAACGTGCTCAACTTTTTGGCTCAGCTCCGGTACTCTCTTCGGTCCCAAGCTAATCGATGCACCCCTCGAAACATAGGAAAATCCACGAACCCCTCATGTTGTCTGTCAAACTTTCATAACGAACCAAAACAAACATAGTGTAGTACTAGAATGGGGTACGTTAATCGATTTGCTTGGGACCAATAGGCTAGTCAAGTAGTGAGCCAATTTAAAATCGTTAGTTTCCACCGGTTGGTATTACTTTACCGATGTTTTTGAAACTTTGGGAGTAGGTTCACTTTATATTAAAGTTTCTAAATATGGTTAAAAGAAAAATTGTTTTGGGACCCTGTGGCCGCATTTATTCCGGTAGGTTTCTTTCTGGGTCAGGAGCGGTAAAAATCATGCTACCTTCCTATTAAACAAAAACTGGTGTGCTAATTAAATCATAATCAACAACGATGGTCTGAGGTTTTTCTGATCAGCTAGGTTACCGGAGGAACGGATCCGGTGCCGTTGAAAAAGTTGTCATTTCCGGAATTTAGGGATCCTTTGATGATGCTTTGCAAAGCTCAGGATTATGCATTTCTTGTTCGAAATATATCCAAACAGATTCATTGCGTCTGTTTGGATCTTACATGACCTCCTTCCAATGAATATCAGATGTTCTAGGTTCTCCAAATTATCTTGGAGTTCAGATGATGCATTCTACTAGATCAACCAGACTGGGACAATTTCTGTATTATCGAAATATATCCAAACAGATTCATAGTGGCTGTGTGGATCATGCATAGCCCATTGCCAAGTATACCATTTGTTCTAGGTTCTCCAAAGCGTCCAGGAATTCACTACATCATCCAATGCTCTACTAAATCATCTACTACATCATCCAAGGCTGGGATAATGTCCGTAGTATCGAAAACAGATTCAACGTGTCAAGTGGCGTTTCCTTAACCTCAATCTACCTGTGCACCAACTCTCAAAACATAAACAAATATCAAAATATTGCTTGCCAATAGATAGATATCGAGTAAACTAGAAGATTAAGTGTATTTTTCAACCGATTCGTGTACGAATATGGCATTAAATCTGGTTTTGAAAGTTGGTGCACAGGGAAAAAGTGAGGTTACGCGACGCCACTGAAAGTGTCTGTGGATTATACACAACCCATTGCCATGTATACCAGATGTTCTAGGTTCTCCAAATCATCCTGGAATTCACATGATGTGTTCTACTAAGTCAATCAAGACTGGGACAATGCCTGTAGTATCGGAATATGTCCAAACAAATTCAAAATGTCTATGTGGATCATGCACGATCTATTGTCATGGTAGGTTCTCCAAACCGTCATGAAGTTCAGCTAATTTTTTCAACTACATCATCGAATCCTGGGAAAATGTCTGTAGTATCGGAATATGTCCAACCAAATTCAAATCTTCTATGTTGATCATGCACGATCTATTGCCAGGATGGTAGTCCAGAGGAGACCAAACACTGTAAAGCAAAATCTAATGAGCATTTTGGCAAAGTTGTGTTGCAATCGGAGACATACACCACAACTTTCAGACAGTTTAAATGTTTGAGTAATCATGTTGAACTTTACGCCGAAAACAGCTAAATTCTAATCAAAGATCACTTCCAAACAACCACAAACGAAACAGCGATTTACAATAGGAAACTGCTCGAATACACACCAAATTAAAAAAAAATCAAACGAACACTTTTTGCTCGCAAAACTCCACTAAAACCGTGTAACAATTCATCCTGTGATGAACTAAAACCACCACAAACTCAGACCTTCATGTGGCCGATAACATTTAGCGAAACAATGTAAATAATGAATAGTCAATAATAAAATAGCCAACGATCGTTGTTTGTACTACCGTCTCAGTACAAAGTGTTTATTTGTCTTTATTTCTCTCTTTCTTTCTCTTTCTTTCTCTATTTTCTTTTTCGTTTTTGATTTGTTTTGTTTCCCTTCTCACCCATGTTTTAATCATCGTGTTACGCTCAACCCACGTGTCACGTTGCGCGTCAGTCCTAATAATCGTAATTATGCTACTGTTTGTCCTTGTTTTGCACCTTGTGGCACCATACTGTCTGGTGAGCGTAATCGTACAAGTGATTCGATGATGACAACCTAACCTAAATTAGCCGGAGGTTTTCGCCATTTTGTTATTTTTTTCATCTTGGTAGCGCTGTTGTTGTTTTGTGTTTTGCCTCATAATATTACTGGCCTATTGCTCGAGATTTGTATTTGTATCATATTTGGCGCGTGGCAGGTGTTTGATACCTACATATATCTGTGTCTTGTAAATTTGTTAATACCAAGTTTTGATCTCGTTGACCCGCACCTCAAATGAAACCCCTTTTCTTTTTTCATCTCAAATCCCCCTCTTGTGTATGTGTGTACGTATTTTTTAAGTGGGAAACGTCGGTCTAAGTGCGTCGGCCGAGTCGGTCCACCATGCGAAGCGACCCAGCCGCCGGGGTTCCCGCCATGGTCACGTACATCGGAGCTCGTCCCGGCGGAACAAGGAAAACGGCTCATCCCGGTCCAACAGCTTCCGGAATAAGACTTCCAATGCCAAGGGTAACAGCAACGCTATTGGTGGCGGCGGTGGCGGCAATGGCAGTGGTGCCAACGATGCCAACAATCTCGGCAACAGCGGTGCTGCCAACAAGGATCACATCCGGATCCGAAAGCAGCGAGCGGTGTCGTTTGAACAGACGTCGGTTCTGGCGGGGACCACGATGACAACGTCGGCCTCCGGTTGTCCGATGTTGGTGGTCGGACCGATTAATCCGAAATGGCGCGATCACGCGTCGAAATCGTTGGACGAGAAGAAATTGCTCAGCAAACAGAACAACATCGGTGGCGGTGGGCCCCTGATGGACGGAGACGCGGACCTTGCTGGGGAGGATAGTGCCAGCGGTAGTGGTGGTCCACCGGCGATGGCAGTAGATGCCGATAGCGACGGAGATTGGCACATGATGGACCAAAGCCAGCCGAGTCAACAACAGACGGCACCGGCGGTCGGGCAGCCGCAACAAGCGGCACCCAGTTCGGTCGGAACGGCACCCAGTTCGATGCTGCATCACTTCAAGCCACCGCGGATATGAATCTAAGGTATAGGTATAGGCTTAAAATGGGTTACGACGGAGGGCAGGTCGCCCGGAAGTCCGGTCGGACCGGGGGACGGATAATTCGATTTCATTCTTTTTATTTAATTTTAGTGTCTATTATTATAGCTGGGTATACATGTGTGTGCGAGTGCGCGTTGAATTTGTAGAAGGATCGAGCGAGCGCGTTTGACGTTTAGTTAGACAATTACGTAAATTTTTTACTATATATATACGTCTTTTGTGTAACAAAGAACTGATTCATTACTCTTCGCGGAAAATGGTAATAAATTTCCAGACGTGAATCTGGATCGGTCTGTATCGGATGTTTACTGTGCTGTAGTGCTGTCTGATCAATGTGGTTGGTTAGTGGCATTAGTATGGTTCGTTCACGACGTTTTTTTTATAGTGATAGTTGCGATTTTGTTTAGTTTCAGAAGTTTTATAGACCACCAAACCTTTTCCAGGCTTTTAGGCTTTCATTAAATATAAAGAAATAGGGGAAGGATCAGCTATTTCCATTTAATTCCTCTACCTTAATTGCTTATCCTTGACAGATACGCGTATCTGTCATGGATAAGCTATGAAGGTAGTGGAATTAAATGGACATTTCAAATCCTTCTCTTTTTCATCATCAGGATTCTTTCATTCAATTCAAATTCAAACAATTCAAACAAATATATTCGATTTTTCTTAACGACTGTAATGTATTCATTAAACTTGCACAAACGACTATTATTAGTCTGCATGTCGTTCACGCACAAAACCCTGTTTGTCACGGCAGCATGCATGGCGCTTCCTGGTAAAAATCCAACATCCTCTATCACAGCACAGTAAACACACCTCTACTAACGGCCAGATCCTGGATTGATCGAACGTTAATCATCCGAACATCACTGAATAAACATAACAAAAAACCAAATGGGGATAATCACAACATTTCCGCTACCTAGTTTACTATACAAAAGAGAACGTACTAAAACGCAAAGCCAGTGGTATTCACTGTGTTGGTATTATAGTTAAGTATGAAGAACGATTTTTCAGCGAAAGCCTACACCAAAAAAATAATAATAAAATTGAAACAAGGAAGCATAACTACAATTGATATAAACAAATTGAGATCCAGAGAGATCCCTCACGAGAAGCCAAATTTCAAACTGATAAAACCAGAGACTACAAATTTTAGCTAAACTAATTGAATGAACAAAAAAAAAGTAGGTGTCGTAAATTATTAGGATGAAAATATGAAACGATTTTGTTTATGTCGGTTTAATGATACCTATGTACTGTTGTCGTCGGATCGCAGTGCCGGTCCAATCTAAAGTGTATATTTTCGTTGAATTTTTCTCCGTTAGTAGGGCTTAATCGAGAAATAGAATTATAAGAATGAAATGGAAAAAGTATTACTAATCGTTTTTTACGAAGTTCACTCATATGGTAATCACACTGAAATGAAACTATTTAAGAAATCAAATCGAAGCTGCAACGGACGATGTTTGGAAGAAGTGTCCAGCTGGAGGATAGGAAATAACAACCATTTTTTACTAAGAACAATCCATTTTCTAAAAAAAAAAACAGTATAAGCAAATTACTCAACCACCAGAGAAGAAAACAAAGATGAAACCACGACCGAACCAGCAAACAGTCCTAAACCTACTAAATTAATAGGAAATATTCGTTTTTTTATAAGTTTCTCCACGTGACAGATAAGAATATATAACCGAAGAAAAACCAACACAACATTCCTTAATTGTACGGCAAACGGAAGGGCTCGACGGGCTTGACTTTAGAACACATTAAAACCACGAGTGATTGCTCAACCAGTGTAGTAGTAGAACGTGGCGATGAAACGCAAAGAAATGTAAAACTGCGACCATAAATTACCAGAAAATACGATTAGGCACAAAGCGCAGGATATGCATACACGGAGAAACGCAGATCAAACGGAAAACGGTTCCTACAGCATTATTAGCCCCGGTTACCCGGATTCCCAACACCACGTGTAAAGTTAGATGTTACAAAATTAATTTGCTAGAATTACACCAAAGAGGCATTTTGTTCGCCCGCTCGCGATAAATTTGCACCCGAAAGCGGTTCCTAGCGGCAGCTGCTGGAAACACTCGACTATCCAATAAACCCACCGTATTTACTCTAGCCAGGTCGCAAACCTGGTTGGCGTCAGACGTTTGAATTGAGGCAGTGCTGCCGTTATTCTATTGAGGAAATTTATCATAATTTTGTTTTATCATAAAGTGATCACATGGACGTTATTCAAATTTGGAACAAGTTCAACGATTTACCTGCGATAGAATCTGAGGAACGGCAGAGGAAAATAGAAATTGTTGTGAGGTGTATTGAACTTTTGATGTGAATTCAATCAATTTTCCAATTGGCGTACCGTAAACCGCCATAATTCTGCGCACTGTCTGATTCCGCGCATTCGGAATAAAACGGAGGATTTGTGTAAATCAAATGGTGAATTGAGTCTTAATTAGTTACGCGTTTCATTGTTTGTAATTTCAAAATGAGTGCTGCATAAATATAAACAAAGTGGTTACGTACTTGCCTGAATAATTCCGCACTCCAGTTATAAATTTCTAATTTTTCTAATTCATTTAATTTGTAGCAGGTTCAATAGCTTCATTGCAATGATGATTAGCCAATTAATTTGTTTCAAACCCATAAGAAATCCAAGGCTAAAGCACAGCACTATGCCCCACCTGTTCACTATGTCCCTTCTTCCCCTACTTACTAGTGGTATTGCATACGTCTCTAGACAGGGTGTCGACTACCTGGAAAAACCTAGAGAGTCAGGGAATATCAGGGAATTCCTTTTTGGACCTGGAAAATCAGGGATTGTCAGGGAATTTCATTCAAAGTCAGGGAAGTATTTCTTTATAACAGAAACATATTAATAAGCATGGCTGACTACGCTAGTTTCAAACAACTTAATTACTCGTTGAAGTTTGAGGTTGGTTTTAAATTTCAAATTTTAAATAGAGTTGCGAAGTTGTGGTTGTTTAATGCTTGCTGTTGTATTTTTGCAAGTGGAGCAAAAGTAACGCAAATAAGAGGGTATTCCGATGATTTTGAGCCTATTATAAATTCAGCCCTCACTGGGTGTTGTCACATTCCTGAGTTGAATCGAGATAAAAATTCAGTTCCGTAGAGAGGTTAGACGTTGTTAGATGTTGCAATTTTAAGCTGCTTATGGAAATGTGCGTTCCTTAATAGATGTTATACCCAATTTCGTCTGACAAAATTTAACTTTCAAGTAGATTCTGCGTCTGCTCTATCCAGCTGTGTCCAACAAAAATCAATCCCTTGAGTGCATTGGAGCACTTTAGAGTAAATGCAAGAATGATTAAGAGTTAAGCTGGGCTTATACAAGGCAAGTCATTGATTAACTCAGTTGAATTCAATTGGCTTGAAAAGTTGAGCCTGGTTCAACTTTTTTCAATTCAAGTCAGTTAAATGGCATAGTTTACACGTTCAAGTCAGTTGAATTCAACTGAGTTGATCAATTGACTTGCCTTGTTGAAACCCAGTTTTAAGAGAAGATAATGATTTTTTTTCTTCTAAATACTTCTAGTTCTTGTTCCTTATTGTGTTCCTAACAGCTTGATTAGCTCAGAGAAACAAATAAATGAGAATTTAGGATAATGGTCTTGCTTGGGAGGTTTTTTTTTTATTGCTTGGAGTAGCACTTTTATGATTGAATAATGATTCAAAGATACGTAGACAAGAATTGCTTTGACAGCATAGAGTGGCTGTGTTAAGTATTCTAGGTCTTCATTGAAAACCTGGTTAGCTCGTAAAATTAGCTTCGCAGTAAAGTTTTAGTATGGTAATGTTGCTTCTATTGCAATTTAGATGGAATTAACTCAAAGAATTTTTCGAGATCATTTTTACTTTTTCCCACCGGAGGAGCTACTAACTAGCTTTTGGTTAAACATATTATCCGGTATAATTTTTTTATGAAGCTGAGTCTCAAAATGTGCTCAAGGCAAAACAAATATAATGGGATTAAAAACAAGTGTTTCAGATGTGAAATGCAGAAATGCAAATCTGGAAAAAAAATACCTCGTTCTTTCTTCGAAAACAATAAGATTTCAAGACCCTTGGACTGGTCTAGATTTTCAGGATAGCTACAGTCACTTTAAGGAGATAATACCAAGATATTTCTGAGAATATTTTCTAGGGAGCTTTAGGAAAACCTCTACCAGGGTTTTTACTAGATCTCCCAAGAGTGAAGAGTATTCCAGGATTCTTGAAAAATACCAAGGAACGCGAATTTCGATGGTACAATTCCAATATAATTATGCGAAGATCTATAAGGATAGTACAAGTATAATTCCAAGCACATTTCGAAAGGAATTTCTAGAGAATGTTAATGAGAATTCCATGCAATTTTCAGAATAATGTAGAGGAGAACTCCAAGATAATTCTGAGCAAAATTTGGAGACAACTCTCGGCGTGAGAATTTCGCCTGCCAGATGGTGTTGGTGGGGAAGGGGGATTACAAGTTTTGCTCAAAAACGCTAATAGGCTCTTTTGAATTGATGGTCTGAGGTGAATTCTACGGAGAATTACATTCAAATATAACAAAATTTAAGCTCCAGCGAATTCTTAGAAAGAGTCTAAAATTCGTAGAAAGAATGAAATTTAAATTTTTTTTTGAGTGTTCTACAGAGAATTTCTGTACTATTATAAAAAAATCAAGGGCTTTCCAGAGAGAATTTCAAATTTATTTTAGAAGAATTCTGGAATGATCTATGTGAAAGGAAATTAATCTGAAGGAAAGGCTTGAGAACAATGAAATAAAAGCCTGTCAAGTTTTGAGCGAAATTTTCAAACACAAATTGTGAAGACTTTAAACCTGTCGCAGATCCAAATTCAAGATCCAACAAAGGTGTAGAAATTACCCATTTAACCTTAGGTTTAATCGCATTCAGATTTGTGCTTAATTAAAATACCTAAACCGCGATAATTTCCAAAATTCCGGGAGAAAAACGGGAAAATTGCTAATCGAGATTTGCTGGTCACCATGAAGATGAAGGAGATTTGGATGAATGTATGTCTCTAGGGTAGAATGCGGATCCTTTCCGTTCTTGGTAACACGAGATTTCTGCCTTTTTTGCATTCTATAAAATGTATGGAACGCTTTATTTAATTTGAAATTGTGCTGGACCACTCTTCATGGGTTAGAGGTCCTTGCGGTATTTCATGAAAAAAAATGTCCATAAAGCACTAATATATTCTGAGGAAAGTTATAGCTGAGGCGTTTTGTTGCCAAAACCGGGTAGGTACTGTACCTGGATTTTTTTTGAAAATTACTGGAAAATCAGGGAATATCATGTTTTCGTAGTTAAGTCGACACCCTGCTAGAGTCTTAATTGACCATGCTATCTTTTTACCAGGCTTGCCTAAACTCCTCGAACTCAGATTATGCCGTAGAGATGCTCATTCATCGTGAGCTAGTTCATCCCTCACATATAAAGAGCCAAGGTGTCAAATCCAAAGAGCGCAAAAGAGCTCGAGCTCAGATTGATGCTCAAGCTGGACTTCCACAAACACGCATCACGATGAGTGATGTGGGGTTCGTTCTTGAGTGAGGCGTGATTTACATCGGCTCTGCTCACCAAACAACATTTTGAACTTCGGGATGAACTCGGTGAAACTGTAAATATAGAGCTTCGTTATGCATTCGGAGAGAGCACGCACGGCCTTTGATTTATGCACGGTTTTTCCATTCAATATTATGATACACAACAATACTATACTAATACTATAGGATCATTCCCAGAGAACGTAACGTTTTGAGAGATTGATGTTTTTTTTAACTCGCGGACCACTTTTTGGATTACTCAAACTCAGTCACAAAAATCTTTGATCATTTTTTCCGCTAAGTGCTTTATGAGTGCATAAACGAAATTATATTTCTGACCTAGAATGTACGAGGGAAAAACTAGTAAAAGCACTAATTACTCCGTTTATGGATTATCCCTTGGTGCTGTCTTCGTATTCTCCTGTTGCCTTTTAGGGAGTATCCATAAATGACGTAGCACATTTTTGATCAATTTTAGACCCCTCCTCCCCCTTCGTAGCGTATTTTGCTATACCCAATACATGGCCGGTCACAAATTCTGAAACCCCCACCTCCCTCTCAAATGCTACGTCATTTATGCATGTTCCCTTAACATGTTCATTCATTCAATTCGCTACCCTCGCTGCACACACGGTAGCTCGGAAATCTTTCTGGACCAACAATTGAAATATGCAGAACAACCAAACGTAAGAAATGGCTTTAAACACAAACTTCTTGAGAATCAAAACACTACCACGTAAACAAAAATTTCCATTTGATAAAGGAAGTTTACTCTATCAGATGATGGCGTTAGATTGTTTGGATGTGCTTTGATTTTCGAAGAATTTATGTTTAAAGCCATTGTTTACATTTTGTTGTTCCGCCTATTTGAATTGTTGGTCTAGCGTTGTTTAAATCAGGTGGAGTCTGAATCGATTTATTCATAACCTTCAGTTGGTTGCAAGATGTCGCAGAAACGCATTCGGAAAAAGTTGCCCCAGCTATGCTCAACTTAACAGAAAACGGCCCGAAAATGACACAATCGGCGGAACCCCACTGTATCAACTTCACCCCGACTGGTCCCCGCATACATAAATACGAAAAAATGCAAAATACACATTTTCAAGTCGGGTAGCTGAATCGAAAATACTCAAGTTGACAGCCCCTCGCCGAAAATAAGCAGGGATTTAGATGCCCTGCCCGAAGATCTTTTTTATTTTCATTTCTTTGCAATCCGTTTTATTTTGCTTGACCCTGCACTCAAATACTAAAATAATTTCAAAATATGTTTATTTTGTTCGCATAGGTGTCAAACCAAACAAAAACCAATACATTTATTTTCAACACGAATATATAGAATAGAATATAGACAGTTACCCTATGAATCCATTTCCCACTTTTGCGTGACGGAATGTATGCATACGTTCCATAATGTTTTTTTTTCATTTCTTGGTTGTGCACTTCTTTCTCGAATACAATACAAAATCACTCATTCATGCGCTCTGGGAGATGCCATCAAGAGCCATGCTCTCTACGAATACATCACGAAGCTCCAAGTTTACTGCTTTGCGCGAGCGCATCAAAATTTCTGCTCGGCAGGCAGAGTCGATGTACACCCGAGAACGAGCTCCGCATCCCTCACAAAGATGCGGGTTGGTAAGAGCCCAGCTTGAGCATCAAGTATAGCTCCGTGAGAGCAAAATATTTCATCATCAAAATATGCTGGAGCTCAGCTTATTGATGACTCTTGATGGAGCTTTTGGCAAGCCTGCTTTTTACCTTTTTGAATAATCACGGCTTGTCTTACCTTTGAGATGGAGGGTACCTCAGCAATATCTTAAGCAAGGATGTTGAAAATAAATGAAGACGAATTATTCAAAGTAAGATCTTACTAAGGCCGTTTGCAATGCTGTTGTATTTTATATGGGCTGTTTCAATTTGAAACTAGAACAGAAACGCACCCCTCGCAATCAGTGATGGAAAAAATCAAGAAAATCGAAAATCAGGAACGGTCGAAAATCACTGCTGATCTTGGGATCAGCAAAATCACAAACAGAAAATCACGGCTGATTTTATCTTAGAGTAGCCAGACCTCCTTCACTCTTTGGAATTTATAGAGACAGATAACAGCGCCAAAAGGATTGTGACGAGACAACATTGAACTGCAGCGTGTTTGCACACCAACATCTATGCATTCACGAACCCACACACTGAGCGGACGGTACAGCGCAAATCAAAACACGAAGCGGTGTCATCAATTATCGTCATCACTCAGCTTCGGCAGCTTCCGATTGCGTTTGTATTCGCAGGCGTTGACTAATACCTTCCTATGTTATACAATAGGAAAGCATTCATTATCCAACATAATTTTTGAATTGAATGTGTGCTGCGTTGACTAAGGAAGACGGCATTTCCAATGGCTTGTGTGTGTAATTCTTCATGGAGAGTAAATGTTTTTCCATGTCTACGTCGCAAATAATCAATTACTTTTA